ATGGTTACCTATGCAACTAGTGCTCCTACCGGCATTTGACATGTCAATTGCTTGTCAAGGTTCAGTCACATATAACTTACCCCCTGCCCTATTTCACAGTGACTTGGTGAAGGTCAAATTTCACATGTACGCGGGGCATTAGGAAGATGATTTAAAGGCATTGAAACAGTGTATTCGAAAAAGAGCAGATGACCTTTGATAAGAAATTGCTTGACGTGTTGATCGAATTTTTTTTTTTGGTCGTAATGAATTTTCTTAGTGTATGTTATAGGCAATTCATAACACCAAACATAAATATTATTTTCGCAATAGTTAAAAAAATATTCCCAGTTATATTTGGGTGGTGCTTAACTTTTGGCGGACTGTATATTATTCGTAAGATGTGGTATGATTGCCAATGTGTGTATTCTTCAAACAACTTGATTGTCACTTGTGTGATTACAATGTATAGTCATGTACATTTTTTACATGTATATTATGTAAAAAGCATCACTTGTTGTGTAAATTAAGGGGGTACCCAACACTATACCCCCCCCCCCCCCCCCAAAAAAAAAAAAAAACCTGTCGTTAAATTTTTCTTGTTTTTATCTCATTGATAAGTTAGGCCTAGCTGAACATCATGTAAAATTTTTTAAAGATTTGAACCGTTGGTAAAAAAGATATGGCCACCGAAAATTGCATGGGTCACATGCTAATTTCGGTCGATTTTTGAAGTTCCAGAAATATGGGTATAGGGGATTACATGTTATTTTTTTTTTTTAATTAAACCTAAATTGACTAAAGCATAGTTAATAGTGATTAATCAGTTAATTTTAAGTTGATTGATACCCTTTACTTGTAAGTTTTTGTTTCTAAATTTAAATTTTAGTCTGAAATAAAATGGGGGGTCTAAGATGAATCAACTAAAAATTACTATGATTTGTAAAATAATTTTAGATACAAATGTTAATTAAAAAAAAAAAATGTGTCGTTTATTTTTTTTTTGAAAAACTAACCATTCGTAGTACTATATCAGTCTGTTATTCTCGCAAAAAATTATAACAATTCACCAGTCAGATTGTTTTCAATTCAAGGTTAAAATATATCCCCACCCTCAATAAATTAGAGCAAGTTCCATTCTGATAGTACATAAGGGCCATAACTTTTTTGTCTTTTGATCTAGGCCTTAGATATTTGTCATGTGGATGTATAGTCATGAGGTTAAGTGTCTTCTATCATGATAACCTTCATGTGACATTCAAATTTGAAACAAAACCAGGCAATAACTTCTTCGTCTTTTGACCTATACCTTACATCTTTGGCATGTGGATGTATCATTATGAGGTGATGTGCCACTTACAGTTTTGACTTAATGTGACATTGAACTTTGACCTCGAGGACGATAACTGTATTTTTTGGCAAGAACCACTTGAGCAGGCCATGACTGTTGTCTTTTGACCTAGGCCTGAAATTTGTAGCTTGTTATTTCAATTCAATTAAACTCTAAGTTTTATTTAGAGTCAATATTTAGTTAACAAATACATATTACTCAAGCTCTACTCGACCATACAACAATATAGACACACATTATGACATATCAACAAATTCCATGCACACGGAATACATAAAAGACATGTAGTTACATAAAACAATCAAAAAAGGTATAGTTTCTAGTGAGGCGAAGTGAATGTACTTAATAAATCCACAGAATGTTTTTTTTTTAATTACACATATGAATTCTACGTGTAAAAGTACACGAGATAATAAAATAAAAAAGGGAGTAATCGTTTTACATTTTTGAGATATGAGCTGTTGAAATTAACAGCAGAAGACACCAAAAATACATAGGATACATAGGGAAATTCTATAAATCGGCAGATATGTTACATGAACAAGTTTTTCAATTCCGTTGGTCTACAGATTTAAAAATAAAAGATAAACGATTCAAAAATGAACGACGAATCCATTGGTGCAAAGAACCACGGCTCCTGAAAATCCGAACTAGGTGATAAAATAGAACTGAACGTGCAAGATCCTAATGTATAAGCAAGTTCGTTAAACATTTAATTTGATAGTATTTCTGGTGAGGTTATGAAAATTAGATTTATTTAAAACAATCAGTCTTAAAAATGCTATCAAAATGTGAGAGTCTTTAACTCATTTCACATCTCATTCCACGAAATATCAAACTGCAGTTACAAGTCTTACATTATTTTTTGGCCCCCTTATACTCTATTCAGTCATTATCTTGAATTGAGACTTGAGAAGAAAACTTTGTTTATGACGTCTTTACAATAAATCCATTGGATGTTGGATTTGTACTGATTGATTATGTAGTCTAAGATGCATGATTTTTTTAATAATTGTTATTTTTTTTAATAATTGTTACTTGTTGGGATGTTCAAGTACCTGGCCACGATCAGTCCAGTTTGTAATATGTATTTCCATTTGTATCCATCTGATGAACTAAACTTTTTTCAACTGATTTGTATAGTTCGTTCTTATGTTGTACTGTTCCACCACTGTCCTAGGTTAGGGGGAGGGTTAATTGGGATCTCGCTTACATGTTTAACCCCGCCACGTTCTGTATGTATGTGTCTGTCCCAAGTCAGGAGCCTTTAATACAGTGATTGTCGTTTGTTGCTGTGTTACATATTTGTTTTTCGTTCATTTTTTTTGTACATAAACTAGGCTGTTAGATTTCTCGTTTGAATTGTTTTACATTTAAGATTTCGGGGCCTTTTATAGCTGACTATGCGGTATGGGCTTTGCTCATTGTTGAAGGCCGTACGGTGACCTATAGCTGTTAATTTCTGTGTCATTTGATCTCTTGTGGAGAGTTGTCTCATTGGCAATCGTACCACATCTTCTTTTTTATATTTACTTCAAAATTGCATTCACTAGGCCTAATTTAGGAAGATACACAAAAGCACAACAAAAGAAAACAAATTTCGCTATCCCTTCGAAATTAGAATTTGATAAGGCAAAACTCACATGTTCTGTTTTTATCATACATGTGTAGTTTCAGTTTCGACCATGGTTCTAAATTTAGAATTTACTTTCTCCAAAAACTGCGGACGGAATAGAAGACACCTGTTTATTTTCTACACCTGCAAGGATTAAGGTCGAAAACAGAGATTTGAATGATATAGTGTAATGTTTCGTGGACTGAATCTGATGGGTTTTTTTCCCTTATTGTTGTCTTTGTTCCTTGTATTGATTTGTAAATGATGCACTAGTGGTTGATTATCGCCTTGGTATCTTCTGACTTTTTATATGAATATAAATCATGTCCTAAAATTCCATAAAAAAAATGCCAGCGTTTTTTCAACACACAATTACACATGTCATGTATAAATTATTCGTAAACTACAATTTTACACTATGGAGTGTATTTCATTCAAAACTGCGGTTTTGCAAAAAAAAAAAGTATCGTGGAGTCCATTCTGGTTTAATTTTAATCAATTTGGTACAAATAGAAGAATAGTTGTCCTTTGTTTATTTTTTTATTTGGTTATAATTTTATTGTAAGGCTTTTTTACTTTTTATACTCTACACTTTATTATATCATATGTAAGGCCTGGGTCAAAAAACAAAAACAGTTATGGTCCTTTCTGTTTCCCTTCATTTGCCACTTTGGAAAAATCTTACCTCCTGGTTTTCTTTCCTATATTTGTCTCTTTGAATTAATTGATGGAAAATGTGTAACTATAAATGGATTAAAAGATTAAATGAATAACAATAAGTGTACATCTGCTCGTAGCAACAAAGTAAACATTCTGATCAGGATCTTTTAAGTTCTTGCATATTGCATGTGATTTTGAAACACTGCAATGAAACAGACCATGAGTTAGAGTTATCTTTCTTATGTGTTGTGTACCCCCTTAAACATTCAAGCCTTTACACTTGGATTGATCATTTTAGGAGACCTTTTGTTGCTCTTGATACATGTACTTTTATTTTAATTATATTATTGTATGGTCAGTCTTTCTACATCTCTTAGGATAAATTAAAACATATGTGTCTAGTTTGGTTCAGATGATGATAGCAGGGAGCCTTTAGTTGTGCTTGTTTGTTTACATTCTTCAATCAGAAATATGTCAATTAATTGCCCTACTGTGTTAAGTTATATTTACACAATTAATACCATTATGTGTCTTAATTATCTAACACTGATTCCAACCATAGTTGTGTGGTCTGGCATATCACATAGAACCCTGTGTTATTTTTAAGGACATTTAAAGTGCTTGTCGGTTGTAACAATTTCATCCCATTACATCAGTTAAAGAGTAAAAGATCTTAAAAGGTTTATCATGAAACCATTTATTGATCTAAAAAGGTGTCCAAGTTTAGTGTTTTCTTTTAAATACCTCCAATGATGTTTTTACTCTTTGATTGATGTATTGCGATGACAGTTTTATTATAAATTATGAACAAAAGTAGATGAGTGGGACAATGCTATACATCAATGCGACAGACACCCAATTACAAAATAAATTTGACCCTAAACAAAACAAACACCAAGGTAAATTAAAAAAGGGAGAGTTCATAAAATAACTAAAAGACGTCTAGAGGGAAACAAACTGAATTCTATTCAATTCATGTATATGTCATCCTGAATATGCATAAACTATTTGCCACTGGACGTTAAACAACCACTAATCAATTGATCTGTAATATAATACAATAATGATGCAATGTACATTGTACGTATATATCAATTACATTATCCAACAACTTAAATATACATGTACATGTACAGTGTATACCCGACCTGTTCAATATAAAAAGAGAAAAAATAACAAAATTATTTCACTCTTTACTTTCATTAGTATCTTTGATCAGATCTGACCGTAAATTAACCAAAGCAGAGCATAAAAGCAAAATGTCATCAAACAGTTTAAAAGATGATACAGGCACAGTCCCACTTAGAATTTTGAAGCCCTTCAATGGTCCTATTACCCTTTCAACAATTATCCGTGCTCTGGCAATCCTTCTTGTGGTTGTCACATTCTCTGCACTTAACTGAGGTTTGTTTTTGTGAACGCTGGCATGTTCAGCTTGACACTCAATGGAAACAATAAGTCGTCTATTGTAAAGCCACGATCTGCCATAATCTCGTCGCCTGGAAGCAAGTAATTCATGAATCCACTTTTTTCTACAATAAATTTGTCACTAGCACGACCACCAAAAGCTTTGGATATGAAAATAATTTGTCCATGTGGGGATATTCCTACTAAATATTTAGCTGTATTATGGGACTTGTATTTGCTGTAAGTTTTACCCCTACTCCTTAAATTAGTTGGTATCTGAATAAATGTTTCAGCACAGTCAATAGTACAAGTAGTTCTGGGATAATTTTCCCTAAATGATTCGGGACAACAGTCTCTTATTGCTTGTCCAGGGAGCCAAACAATCAAGGACTTTAACTTTTCTGCCAACACAGGAAACCACGAATTTAATGTTTTGCAAGCTAAACCACTTGATATATCAAATATTCTGCATAGATCGTCAAAAATTAAATTTAACTTTAGTTTCATGAGCACAAGGAGTAATCCATCTGCTACCTCTAATTGAAAACTGAATGTATTGAAAGGAGTAAAGCATTTCACCAGCGTGAAAAAGACCTCTTTTGTGACCCCTGTATACAATAAAGCGTCATTGTCCGTTAATACATTTTGTGCAGCAGACATAGTTGCTCCATCAGATTTACTTTGAAGTCCCTTATCTTCCGTTAAAACTATATTTGTTTGAGACAATTTAGTCTGAAAATCGGTCCATTCTTTCCCGTACGTGTGATCTTTCTGCGGTAAGAAGTCCGATTCAAGATATTGTGTACTAACAGTAGATGAATCTTCTACAACATTAAAACTACAAATAGCCTCCTGTAGATTCTCAGACGACGTACTTGTGCCTGGTTCACTTTCTAAAGTAGTATCTAATTCTGTTATTTCCATATCGGAATCAGAATCACCAGTTTCTAGTTTTCTTTTTTTCACTGTCAATTTATGTTTTAAAATGTTTCTTCTACCCGGAGTTGTCTTGTTTTCGTACCCCATCTTTAACTTAGGAGAAGGATTCCGATCTGTAGGTTTTCCGTCAATAAAATGTTCAGAACATACATATACGTTTTCGGAAGATCTTTCCGATTTAAAGCTTTTATCCACTCAAGTCGAATCAATTCTTTGGATGGCGTTACATGTAGTCTGTAAGGAATTAAACAGGGACAATAGTCGTGCATTTCACCATGTAATTCACACATTGATTCCTTCCATACAGTTTTTTTTTCCAATTATTGGAACAACCATGAACTGAACATGAGTTCCCACCAGCTCTTTGTAATTATTTTTACTCTCCATAACAAAACGAAAAGGAAAATAGTGGCAAACAAAATGTAAACAGAAGATCGATATTGTTGTGATTAAAACACGTGCGTTATCTATCATTAGTGCTATGGCTGCGGCACCACGTGATAGATTAAAGTCAGCGCACATGATAATTAGGTCAGATCTTGAAAAATGTGTCTATACACAGGTAACTTACATCTGGATGTATTAAATATGTGGTGAAAGCCGGAGGTGGACATCCTGTGTATATGTGATTGCAATTAGCTTTTTTGTTAATTTGTTAAGACGACAGTCGTACATGTATAGAGTGAACCGACACGGATCACTAAACACCAAACACCTAGACTTGAAGTCAACAGTAATCGAAAAATAAAAAAAAAAATAATAGTAATCGATATACAGCACTTGGATTAATTTTGAATCAAACACTATATCGTGTTTCCTCAATTGTCAGTATACACTAATTTTAGGTTGCTATATTTATCTTTATCTGTATATTTTGAATATATATTGAACATATTTAAACATTGGAATTTGAATTGAATATTTCTATAGGTCCTCTCAGTATATACGATGACTTATATATTTTTTTCTGTGTCGTTTGGTCTGTTGCGGAGATTTGTCTCATTTTGGCAATCATACCACTTGCATCTTCTAATTTGTATATATATATTCGGTCCTCTTTCCTTTTCACACGGCTCTTAACGTAATTAGGTCTTCGGGAACCACCATTCAACTGTAACTTGATTTATTATTTTTTTATTTTAAATATCTTATCAGGGAAAAGGGGACTATATTTCGTAATGTGAGTTTTTTTGTCATAAAATTTATAAAGCAAAAATCGCGACAAAAAATAATGCTTGTGTGGTACAAGAAAATCAGAATGATCCATCTCCCCCTTCAGAGATACATGTTCGTTATTTTATATATTATTGCCTTTTAAATGTTGATATTATGTTCATTTAATTATATATTAATCAAGATCACGGACTGGACCTCAAATAAAGTTTGATGTCGACATGCAAAGTGTAAACGACCATACCAAAGTCCAAGTGTAAATCATAATGCACGTGCATAAGTGCTTATCCATTTTGTCTATGCTTGCACATAAAAAAAATAGATGCAAAATCCCATTATACGAACTTTCACTTAAGGTGCTGGTTATACTATCGTGCACAAATATTGAGAATGAAAACATGTTTTGATATTTAACCTTGTTGAACTTATTAATGCGTTCAATTCCTGACCTTGGCAATGTCTCATTTGGATTGAACCAGAAGTACAACCATATTTTTACCCCGAGAATAACCGAAACGACCTCCCCCCACCCTATGATTGGTCGTCAGCTTAGTGGGGGCTGAAATTTGAATACCGAGGCCCGACTGCCATAAACAACAGACGACGAACATCATACAGTGGATACAACATTTGACATGTATGAAAGACGACGATCGACGGACACAAAATGATTGTACTGAATAATTGTAACTGACCACATAACCCTATAAATTAATTTATTTACATAGTTACTTGAACTCGTCCAAGGAATACATTTATGGACAAAAACGAATTCAGTATGTTTACGGTACAAACAGGCACAACACCATTAATGAATACAATTGTGGCTTATACTGTTTAATTCATTTTTAGAGCAAAATTTGATTGATTGAGTGTTTTTTGTTTGCATTTGTTTGCACCTGTCCTAAGTCAGGAACCTGTTGTTCAGTGGTTGTCGTTTTTTTATGGTTTTACACTAGTCATTTTTGGGCTATTTATAGCTTGTTGTTCGGTGTTTGATAATGGTTATTTTTTTACAAATTGTGACTTGGATGGAGAGTTGTCTTATTAGCACTCATACAACAACTTCCTATATCTATTTTGACCATAGAATATCAATTCTTTTTTATTGTCGACATTTTTATTCCTTTTGTCTTGATATTTCTATAATACATACACATTTTAAAAACTGACCACATTCCAACTTTAGAATAGTTGACACAAATCAAAGCCATGCACGCCAATAACTTTATCGGAAGAGAAATAAAACAAAAGCATAATTTTTTGTCCTTTTAATCTTTGTAGATAAGAACAAAACATATGATTATACATTTTTTGTATTATAGTCTTTACAATTGTTAATAACTTGAAATATAAAAAAAGATTATGGCTATTTAATCAGTTTTTCTGTAAGTTGGCTCCTCTCAATCGGTTCACCGATTTTCGGGAATATCAAATACAAACCGGTACGTGCCTATATCAGAGACATATATGTCTCTGCCTATATATTGTTCACATGGTTCTTTTTCTATAGAATTTTGAATTTATGTATTAAATATCAATCTCTACCATAATATGAAAACAATGTACATATAACAACATCCCTTCTAGTCCTAAGTGGCATATTATATATAAAATATATGTTAGTGAGGCCCAAGCGCTTTTGTTGAGAACAGCTTGATGACATACTTCATCAATTGACCACATTTTTATTTATTATAACTAACAAGCATGCACAGAACAACTCTGCAAAGTTTCATGGTGATATCTTTTATACTTTTAAAGATATGAATGTTTGAAATTAGCCAAAAAGTGATAAATGTCCATTTTAAAACTTTATTCAACAAAAAAGTAAAACAGCAATGATACACCAAGTTACAGTTTTCTATACAAATATAAGCAAAGTGATGAAACAAAATAAATTTTGCTTGTGTGAATTAAAAGAAGGAAGATACATGATTCTAAATATGTGAGAAAAACACCTATCAAAGTATTAAAAAAAAATAAGTTCATGTGTCCATATCAATTTTTTTTTTATTTCAATAAAATATAAGACATTATTGCTAAAATTATGTCATATTTATCACCAAATAACAGAATCTTACAATAAAACTCATTTCAATAATTGTATCTTATCTAAATTAGCAAAATATTTTTTTTGATAATAGCAAAGGGAAGTAATAAATATTACAAAATTTGTATAGAAACAATAGCAACTTTTGCATTTTATTTTTTTCTGAAATTCTACAACTCTAAATAAAGGGAAACAAAATTAAATATTAACGATAATTATTTCTACTTATTATTTGAAGTAAAAGCTACAATTTAACATAAAGTTAAGAAAAAAATGTCAAAGAGTTTGAAATATCTTTACCTTGAATTAATTACAGACTGAACAAAAAAATTCGAAAAATATTTATATATTGATTCGATTGCAATTCTATGAATCACTTTTTTAAATGAAAGCATTGATATGATAGTTTGTATTATTTTATATCTCATAAATTCCTTTTCAATAAATAAATAAATAAATGAAAACTTCTTAAAAAGGGGAGATAGTTCATTCCGTCAGAATTCATCAAATTAAAAAAAAATATGTTAAAGTTTTCTTTTCACAATACAAATTATGTAAATATATATTTCTTTTAAACCTGAGTTACATATAAACAATTATTACTTATTTAATGTAAAAAAATATGGCATAAATGAAACATTTAGTGATACCCTGCCATGTTTTGGTTGAAAAAACGGGAGTGGCAAAAAGTAAAAATATGGCATAAGTTGAAAAATGTTTTTTGGATCTAGCTTAAAATTGAACTTTACTTGCTATTTATTGTACTTAACATATGTGCAAAGTTTCAACATAAATCATTCATCCTTTCTAAAGTGCTTTTCGGAAAACCACTGGGGGACGGATGCACGTACAGACAGACGGACACAAAACTGCAATTTTTGTTCGGAGGGTATCACAAAATATAACGCCACTATGTGTGGCGGGGTATAATAAAAGCACAAATAACAAACATCATGAATATAAATATTAAAATGTAAAATGCACAATGTCATTGATATCAAAACATAACTACCACTACACGTACATGTACTATAGATTAGATTCTACATTTTAAAAAATCAATGATAAAATGATAACCACTGATAACAATAACTTTGCTAAAAAATAAACATTGCAAAGCTATTCATTAAAATCTAATATTCAGCATTCATTTGTTCAATTTCATGAATACAAAAAAATAAATTTCAATACATCTGCATTTATGTAAAAATAAAAGTGCTTGGACGGAGCATACTTAACAGACTGATCAACGCATAAAATAGATTGGCACTGGAATAAATAAACAAAAAAAATCCCCAATTATTTGCAATTGGTTCTTTGGCACACATAAAATATAACAAACTCTAAGTGGGAGAACGAAAAAGTTAAGCTATTATAATAAAACAGTTACAAATGAACTAGAGCACATGCCATATCCAATGTTTCTTCATCTAAAGAACTCCACTCATCATTTTCGTGAAAGAGTCGTTTTTGAGCTCCTTTTACATTTGGCAAAGTTTTTTCATCAGAGGATTCCCATTCCTGTATTATTAATTGTTTGTTAGCTATAATGATTGTTTTGAGATGAAGAACCTGTTCCGTGGGACTTAGTTTATTGAAATTTTTCAAAACATCATTAGAATTCACATGCTGAACCTCAGCTAAGGCTCTCCATAATTTAACCTGCTTTAACAGTTGTGTCTTGTTCATGTTGTTAACATATTTTTGTTCTACGGCACAGGTGAAGCTTAGCTTCTTTTAGACTTTCATCAAGTCTACG